CTCGCAAAAGTTCTATCCTAAAAATTTTCTAAGTACCTTAAGCATAGAAAACATACAATCATGTTAACAGGATCACAAAGAATCAAGTCCTAAGGTTGGTTCTATCATTCTAAACAGTCATGTACAATAATTCTGAACATATCAATAAAAATATTCTTTCATCATCAGACATCCTTAATTCATTCCAAGCAACTATCATAACCATAACTCATGCCATGACAAAAATATTTCTACAAATCATTATCGATGCAATTAACTAAGTGTGAAGCACAATACGCGCCAAAAACTTGATCGCGTGAATAAGTGTGTGTTGTGGCACGCAAATCTATGTAATTATATACAATCGATGCAAGTAATATAGTAGTAAGTGAGTTATCGTCTCCATGGGGATTAGTGGGAATTTTTTATGATTGCTACAGCTATAACTAGGTGTCACTAACTAGTCCTAAGATTCTTGTCTAATGATATTAACAATAGAAAAACGATTAGTATCAAATGATATGAACAGATGAGAAAGTATTGTCGAGCAAGAAAAGTTGTAAAGTGAAGTGAGCAGAAAAGTTTGGCCGAGGCAATAAAAATATGCAAAGGAAAACAAATAAAAGTTGTCAAGGCAAATAAAAATGTTTGAGTTCAATATATTCTGAAAAAGCCTCACACAATTAGACTTCCAACGGAGCACTTGGGTTGGTTTTTCTAAGGCGAGAAAATTATTCTATGTCTAGGATGATTTAGTATGTTATGCTTATACTGCCTGACAGGATTTACTAGAGTGTTCGTAGAACTTTTTCGACGACAATACTACCTAGCGTTAACTACAGCCCTTGGTTTGTCAAATTGTTGCTGCGGTGATACCCCTCAGCGTAAGATGTATCTCTAGCCTATCTACTCAAGCATTCACCCTTCTTAGTCGAATGAAACCCTCTCTTTATCTCTAAGAAAGATTAGAACCTCACCATCCCGGATTAGTCCCCTTGTTTACATGGATCTAACCTAACTCTTTCTAATATTATGTATCAACTCCTAAAAAAATGGCAATCTCTCTAAAGCTCTTACAAAGATTAGGAATGTTTTGTCATGGCACCTGGCAATCTCTCAAAAGCTCTTACAGGGTCAAAGGAAAAGTTTAAAACAGTGAACAAAACAACATTCAACAAAAGCATACTTAATCATCATTTAACATCAAATAATGTATCCTCTAAACATCTTCAACACCAAATAAAATAGTTTATGGTGTGGTAAACATCATCCCAAAAATAATCTTTAATTACAAGCCCTTAAATAATATGAAAATGAATAACAATAGGAAGAAAAACTCCCAAACAGAGCTCTGTCGTTACATTAGACCACCACCATGACTACTCCAGCGGCCAGCCTCTCTCGAGGGCTTGATCGCTGCTCTAGTGAAGCGTGGCTATGGAGGTCACCAAGGACGGTTGAGTGGGGGATGATGGAAAAGGGATGTGCACCTGTCTCCTTTCTCCAAGCCTCCTTTTCAGTGTATATTCTCTCTCCCCCTTTTAAGAGGTATAATGTGATATTTATAGTGGGAATTTCTAGGGTTTAGTGCCCTTGTAAATTCCCTAAATACCCTTGGTTTCATACCCTTTGTGTGAATAAAATGGCAGCTGGCAGTAGTTCACGTGAGGTACATTGGATAGTTATCCATGTGACGTCAGTAATTTTGTCTCGTACTGTGTCAGACTGTCGAGATAAAACTCGCCTTGGCAAGAAAATTTGTTCCTCACTGTCATCGTCTTCTATTCCACAAGCCATAGCAAATTATTTTTTCTCAGCAAATAAAATTTTCCCCAATCAATTCCTACATCATCATTTCCAATAAACAACCCTTCTCCTCAGCAGCACCAGTTTAGTCAAATAAACTTTGCCTCAGCAAAACTTATCTACCACATGTAAATATGTCCTAAATACAACTATATGCAGCTAAAATGCTATGTCAATGGCTTTTAGACAATCAATAACTTAAGTAAAAAGACCTAAATTATAGTATTTTTACGGAGTTATCATACCCCTAAACTTAAGCTATTGTTTGTCCTCAAGCAATGGATAATGAGCAATAGAAACATAAAGTGTCAAGGCAACGTATAAATTAAGACAATCAAGTGGTTTAAAATTACAACCCTCAGCAACAAGTTTGGCCTCAACATGCTAGACTGAATCAAAAGTCAAACACCTTTTTCATAGATCAAGATCCTTTATTAGTGTATGTGTGTGATTGTATCTAGTCTATGCTTAACGAATTTAGAAAATTTCTAGGTTCATTTGTTTTTCCAAGGCATCAAATTATTCATTAAGCACATTTTCACTCATGTTTATTAAACATGTAACTCCAATTTTTTTCAACACTACTTCAAGGGGAGTCAGCTCATCACACCTACCATCCCACACTCTAGGTGAAAGGGAGCATACCTTCTACCCCCGAGCTAGTCAAATAGAGTCATCCCGTGACTATTTTCATTCACTCATGTGCCAAGGCTATAGTTATACCGAGAAATTTATTTACAATTCAACAAAATTCAAAAGGATAAGGAGTTCAACTTAATCTTTTCAATCAGTTTATACCACAACTCGCAAAAGTTCTATCCTAACCTTAAGTATAGAAAACATACAATCGTGTTAACATGATCACAAAGAATCAAGTCCTAAGGTTGGTTCTATCCTTCTAAACAGTCATCTACAATAATTCTGGCATATGCAATAAAAAAATTCTTTCATCATCGGACATCCTTAATTCATTCCAAGAAACTATCTTAACCATAACTCATTCCATGACAAAAATATTTCTACGAGTCATTATCAATGCAATTAACTAAGTGTGAAGCACAACACACGCCAAAAACTTGATCGCGTGAATAAGTGTGTGTTGTGGCACATATATATGTGCTAGTATATACAATCGATGCAAGTAATATAGTAGTAAGTGAGTTATCGTCTCCACAGGGATTGGTGGGAATTTTTTATGATTGCTATAGCTAGAACTAGGTGTCACTAACTAGTCCTAAGATTCTTGTCTAATGATATTAACAAAAGAAAAACGAGTAGTATCAAATGATATGAGCAGGTGGGAAAGTATCGTCGAGGCAAGAAAAATTGTAAAGTGAAGTGAGCAGAAAAGTTTGGTCGAGGAAACAAAAATATGCAAAGAAAAACAAATAAAAGTTGTTAAGAAAAATAAAAATGAAGAACAAGAGGAAGAAAAACTCCAAAACATAGCTCTGTCGTGACATCAGATCACCACCATGACTGCTCCAGCGGCCAGCCTCTCTTGATGGCCTGACCGCTGCTCCAGTGAAGCCTGGCTATGGAGGGCACCAAGAACGGTTGGGTGGGGGACGATGGAAAAAGGATGTGCTGCAGTCGCCTTTCTCCAAGCCTCATTTTAAGGGTATATTCTTAGCAAGGCCAGGAGTTCACGTAAGGTGCATTGGACAATTGGTCATGTGACGTCAGCAATTTTGTCTCGTACTATGTTAGACTGACGAGATAAAACTCGCCTTGGTAAGAAAATTTGTTCCTCACTGTCATCATCTTCGGTTCCACTGGCACTAGCAAATTAATTTGTCTCGGTAAATAAATTATTCCTTAGTCATTTCCTGCATCATCACATCAAACAAACAACCTTTCTTCTCAGCAGCATCAGTTTAGTCAAATAAATTTTGCCTGGTAAAATTTATCTACCACATGCAAATATGTCCTAAATGCAACTATATGCAGCTAAAATATTATGTCAATGACTTTTAGACAATCAATAACTTAAGTAAAAAGACCTAAAATATAGTCTTTTTACGGAGTTATCAAAGGTATAATAAGTCTGTGTGCTATGGGTTGGGTTGCTAAAGCATGGGATGAGATGCTGGCATGGATTGTACGGTTTCTTAAGGGAAAATTCCTTCTTACTATTATTCTTAAAATTGCTTGGGGTTAAGTTTGTGGTGCAGGTTAGGTTAAGAAGTATGAGCATAAACAAAAATGACAGAGTGAATGTTAGGCTTTATAGCAGTTGGGTCATCCTGTAGTTTTTTTTAGCTGATCTTGATTTATTGTTTCTTTGTTTCTTGTAGCAGGTGATTGCTTTCTTTGGGTAATACATGAATTTATCCAATATATAAACAATTCACAAAAATTTAAAATTTATTTATTTATATAAACACAAAAATTATACTATATAATTTTGTTGTTTTGTAAAGTAGCCAACTGTTGTAGTAGGTGGTCAGACTACTATTGGAGTCATGGTCCTTTTTGATCTCTATTGTATGGCTATTTGTAGTATCTTGGTTTTAACTTTGATTCATTAGTTATCATATGATTGGTTCTGATTGGTTGTCTCAGAAGGTAACGTTATTAATGTTGATTGATTGTTTAAAGTCATAATGTTATTGGCTTTAATTGGCCGCCTTGGGGGTGATAGGTTAAGTTAGCATGTTGCGCATATCGACACGTGGTTGCTGACGGTTGCACACAAGGTGTATTTGCATGAATAAAAGATGGTTAATGCGCTGTTGTTTGCATGGTAATGATGGTTGATGCGTGAGTAGGAGTCGCGAGACTATAAGTTTGCAGGTAGTAACAAATTTAGTAAACTACACTCGTATTTAATAAATTAATTAATTAATTCATATCAAATATTACATAAATTCATTATGAGGATAATTTTCTTAACTCAATTACATCATGCTATTTGAATCTTTGACTTTTCTTATCAGATCTATGATAAGTTGGTCTTAACAGTATATTATATATATATATATTTGACTTAGTATATGACGCTTACTGTTTCCCTAATTGCGAGGGTGCAGCTATACCTACTGACAGTAGTAGGTAGTCGAGAGAGACAAAGAAGCTCGAGCAGAAAAGTCTAAATAAATGGGCGATAGAATCATATTTCCATACGAACCACTTCCACTTCTAAAAAGTCATCAAACCAAGCTCTATATAAAGGGGACGAAACACAATAGGAGGAACCACCTCACAATCTCTTCACATCTTCCTTTTCCTAATACAGAAGGCAATGATGGCATTAAAAACTTGTATTTTGCTTCCATTTTTCATGCTTCTCGTCGTATCTTCATCCAAAAACAAGCAATACAAGCCATGCAAACAACTGGTCCTATACTTCCACGACATTATTTACAATGGAAAGAACAAAGAGAACGCGACATCCGCCATTGTTGCAGCACCCCAAGGAGCAAACTTGACGATCCTTGCAGGTCAGTTCCATTTCGGGAATATAGCAGTTTTTGACGACCCCATTACCTTAGACAACAACCTTCATTCAAAGCCTGTTGGTAGGGCTCAAGGCATGTACCTTTATGATACCAAAAACACGTACACTGCTTGGTTAGGATTTTCTTTTGTTTTTAACAGCAGTGACTACCAAGGCAGCATTAATTTCGTGGGTGCTGATCCGTTGATGAATAAGACTAGGGATATATCTGTGGTGGGTGGCACTGGTGACTTTTTCATGCATAGAGGTGTTGCCACTTTGATGACTGACTCTTTTGAAGGCGAAGTGTATTTCAGGCTCAGAGTTGATATCAAGTTCTATGAATGCTGGTGAAAAAAAAAAGAAAATTTAAAGGGGGGGTGTGGAAAGGATAATGAAGTGAATAAATCGAGTGAGTTTGTGCTTTGAATCAATCCCTATTATTCATGTTGGTTTTATGTTTATGTATGGGGTTTTTACTTCTGTATCCTTTGCAAAGCTTAAACTTAAGTTTTTTTTTAAGAATGCAACGTATGTGTGCTTTTTTTTTTCCAAATAATTTGATTGTTTACGATATAATATCTATTTGGAATCTTTCTTAATCTTTGATAATGAATACCTAGAAATGTAAATACTCAAACCCAAGACTTCTAAGGAGAACAACACTCCTCTAAACCACTGAACTCACTTGATGAATTCAAATGCAACGTGCTTTAATTGAGAGTTATTGTAATGTTTTTAATTAATTAATTAATTAACTTGTAAATTTAATTTAAACCCGTCCTCAATCACACCAATATAACTAAATCAATCAAAATTCACATCATTTTACATTTAAGTATTTTATATAGATGATAGTTTGTTGAACTACTTTTATTGTTGTGGTCTTCGTAATATAAATGAGATATCATGGACCATCCAGCTCAGTTGGTTGAGCACAAGGTTCTTAACTTTGAGGTCGTGGGATCGAGTGGGAGTCCCACGGAGGACATTTCATAATTCGGAGATTTTCTACGGAAGCTGCTCTTAACCTGGTGTAGGGGGCAACCTACTATCTTACCTCTCCTTACCTCATTACACATGTGAACAAAGGACAACATTTATTTTATATGATACATAATTTTGTAAGTTGTCTTCTTATCTATTTCAAATAATTTTATATTTTGTATAAGTGAGATGACTATCCAGCTCAGTTGGTAGAGCACAAGGTTTTTAACCTTGAGGTCGTGGGATCGAGTCCCACGGAGGGCATTTCATAATTCGGAGGTCTTTTACGAAAGCTGCTCTAAATCTAGTGTTGGGGGCAGCCTACTATCTTACCTCTCCCCCTTACCCCATTACATATGGGAACAGGGGACAACCATTTTTATATTTTGTATAAATTACAATAATAATTTATTTTTAATAAATATCATATATGTTAGATATTAAACACAATTTATTATAATAATTCGTTTTAATTAAAATATCATCTGCTTAAGATATTAAAATATAAAAAAAATTAAATACTTATTTTTGAGGCCACACATTCATTATCTCTTCTCAAATAATTTTTATTTTAAAAAATTGATAACTTTAATTATGGAGTCTGGACCAAAAAAATAAGAGAACGATAGGTTGAGAATTTATTGGCCATGGTCTTGGTCTTTGGCATTACATGTAAATGTCCAAGTTTTAAACTTATGGTAACGTCACATTATTTTAATTATTGTAATGATGACGTGAAATAATTTTATGGTGACACATTAATATCATTGTTAATTTTTTAACAATGAGTGATCAAAATGAAATCAAAATTAAACATTAGGAATGATTTTGAAAATATAAATGTTTTTTTTAAAATTAATCTAAGGTGCTTGTAAGTGGTAGTATCTAGGGATGGGCATGAGTCGGTTGGGTCGGGTTTTCAGTAAACCGACCTGATCCGAAAATATATACACTCCACCCAAAACCTGATCGACCCGAGTTTAAGGGTGACTTCACCCAACCCGATTTGTTTAGATCTAATTGAAATATATATATAGAGGATTATTATTGCAACTATCCCTGCATATATAATGTAATTTTTTTTTTGTGTGGAGTCGAGTATTTTCACCCTAAATTTGAATTCGACCCAATCAGAACCCAATTATTTTTAAAAAAATTCTGACCCGACTAGGTCGAGTCAAGTCGAAACCTGTCGGGTTCAAATCTAGTGTTCGTATATGTTCTAAAGTAATAGTTGAATGATCAAAATTAAACAAAAATAATATTGGGATACTAAACTTGTAGTTTTTCCTACATTTAAGTTATCACTCCGCTTAAGTCAAGTCATTAAAAGGACAAAAATAGTTAGCATACTTTTTTGGGTGTTTGAGATGAATTGATGGGCACAACCGCACGAGGATCGGAAATTTCAATGATAGAATGCGTAGAATTTACAACTTTCTAACACAGTTCATATTTAAATTACTTCGAAATTTCGTTCGAGTTGACTGAAATACTTAAAAGTAGATGAACTAAAGTTTATTTCTTTTAGACGAATGTAAAATTTTATATTAGGGGACGGATTTAAATTTTTAAAATTTTATACGAGACGAATTTGAACTTATAAAATTATATGAAAAAACATATTTCTAATCGAAAATATATAAAAAAATCTAAAATATAAGATAATTTTATATTTTTAATGAGAGCGACTGTCCCGTCCACCTCGGTCCATCCCTGTTCGTTGATGTATCATTTAATATTATTAACAACTTCTCATTTATTTGAAAAAAACCAGTTCCAATTTACAACAGAAGTTTTTTTTTTTGGTTATTTGTTGAAAGTTTATTATAAAGATTGAAAAGCAACAATGTTAAAGAATATATTTTTAAATTTAAATTTTCATTTTTAGGTTAAAGTGTTTAAGAAGTCCTTAGCAAAAAATCAAAGAATATAGAAAAAAAAATTAAGCTGGTTCCTTCTTTTATTGATTTTTGTTAGTTGATTAATTTTAACTATTAATTAACAAACATAATGACACAGCCGTGTGGTATAATATCATCAAATGGTAAAAGAAATATTATTTTCATGATTTTTGTTAGTTTTCTTTGGATTTATTTTTTTTTACAATTTTTTATTATGTGTGATTTTTTATTTTATAAGATTTTGATATAAAAAAATTTAAGATAATTTTTTCATATTTTTTTCTTAAGTCATTTTGTGAAATTTTTATTTAAGATGTTATGAAATATTTTTAAAGTATTTAAAACTTCCAAAATATGTTCTCAAACATATTTGATTTATATCTATTTTTTTTGGGTTGATCAAATTAATTTCAAAGTATTTTCAGTAATGAAATTTTTTACTTTCTTATTGTCTCTCTAAGATGATTTCTTAGCTGTGTTGTTTCCACATGTAGGTACTTCGAAATAATCATAGTTAGCCAATTGTTGCATCACTGAGCAAGGGCCACTGCAAGCAATCATGGTAATGGATTTACTTTTGTATTTTGATATTTTAATAGTGACATATATATGGTGAATTCTAGGTACTCGGTATAGTTGGTTAGTTTAACTTATGAAGTGTTTCATGAACATATTAAGTGTTAATTTCAACGGTGTAAGTCTATGTTAAGTTACACTATTGGAATTAAGCGTTAGTTTCACTTGTGTAAGTTTATGTTAAGTTCACTGCTGGAATTAAGTGTTAATTTAAATGGTGTAAGTTTATGTTAAGTTTCAATGTTGGAATTAAGTGCTAATTTCACCGGTGTAGGTTTAATTAAGTTTCACTGCTAAAATTAACTGTTAATTTCACCGATGTAATCTATGGTAAGTTTCACAACTGGAGTTAGGTGTTCATTTCACCGGTGTAAGTCTATATGTTAATTTCACCAGTATAAGTCTATGTTAAGTTTCACTGCTAAAATTTGGTGTTAGATTTTACTAGTGTAAGACTGTCATAAGTTAACTGAAGGAATTATATGTTATATTTCACTACTGTAAGTATGTGATAAGTTCACCATTAGAATTATGTGTTACTTTCATTGATAAAATTTTGTGTTACTTTTACTAGAGTAAATATGTATTATGACATATGTTATAAAAGAATATGAAAAAATGTATTATGAGATGATGAATAGTAAGTTATTTGAGGCTATATGTCGTTTATATGTATGATGTGACATCTCTTATTAGGCTATATTTCTGGATTTGATAAGGATGTTACATTTAGTGGTACAAAAACTACAAGTTTAGCCGATTCTATGACTAAATGGTGTATGTTACGAGTCTCAAGTATACACGTCACTAAGATATCTCAAATGTGGAGTATTGCATATGAGCCTTGATTCAACCTCTTAATGCAATTAATGATTCAGAACAAAGGATAGACCAAATGGGCCATAGTGAGGCCCATGGTGCGAGTAATGAGTTGTCCAACAACCACTCCCAACCATGATCCATTAAATACACCAGTTCCTCTTGCGGTACCTGTGTAAGGCCGAAGAGTATTCTTTTAAACCTTGGATGCTATCTTAATTCGATTTAACCCCCATATGGTTGGGCCTGCTCCCCGACGATCTATTGCTAAAAAACTCAAAAGCATTAAAGAGATGAACTTCAAGGTGGCCAATGACGGGGACCCATTGGTTGTTGACTACGGGTTGAATGACACCAAAGTTCTATTAAATGGGCTTCATCGTGGGGATGCAGAGAAACTAGATGGGTGATATCCTTGCTTAAGGAGCAAGCCCGAATTTAGTGGATAAATACTACTACACACGTATCTTTGAAAAATGTGACATGGGAGTACGACAGTCTACGAATACATTAAAGACTTATTTATTCGAGAAATGAAACAAGAGTATTTAAACCTCAAGCAAGGGTGTAAGACGGTCTACGAATGTGAGTGTGAGTTTAATCACATGATTCGGTTTAGTTCAAAATCGATTCCGACTAAAAAACCAATTTTGATTGGTTTATTGAAGGTTTGATGCCACAGACCAATGAAGTACTGGTGGCTATGAATTTCAATGTATTTCAAGAAGTGGTTAACCGCGCTAAAGCCATGGAAAAAGTCCAAGGGGAGTGAGTTATGGAGGATCGTGGAAATTTAAAAAGAGAAGTTTTGGTCCTTTTCGTCTTAGTCATCTAAGAGAGGTAAAGATGATCGCTCGCAAGAAAGGTCGATGGTGACTAAATTAGGAACAGAGCAAATGTGGTGCTGATGCACAGAGGCGGAAGACCTTTTATACTTTAAGGACAACGAATGCACACTTGTCTTTGTAGGATAATGGTGCATTGTTAGCTAAATTGCAAGTGAAGCCTAATTTGGTAGATTCGATAAGAGAGCTCTAACTAATAGATGAAAAATATGTAATGAAGAGAATACAAGTTGGAAGTAATAAAGACATATATTTCAAGATCAAACTGAATGATTGTTGATATTATCGAGAGAGGATTTATATTTCCAACAATGAAGACTTAAGACAAGAGATTTTGTAAGAGGCTCATTGTAGTCTATTCACGATGCATTTAGGTGGTAAAAAATGTACCAATATTTAAAAAGTCATTTTTGGTGATCAACGATGAAAAAAGCCATGACAGAATTTATTGTTAAGTGTTTGACGTGCCAACAAGTGAAAGTTGAGCATCAAGTGCCTTTTGGGTTGTTACAACCGATAATTATTCCAAAGTGGAAATGGGAAAGAGTTATGATGGATATTGTGATAGGGATTTCGTTATCAGTGAACAAGAAGGATACCATATATAGGTATTGGTGGATTGACTCACCAAGTCATCCAATTTTATTAAAACTACTCCATGAAAAGGTACGCAGAGCTATACATACGAAAGGTTGCGAGGTTTCATGGTGTACTGATATCTATCATTTTAGATCGTGATCTGGAGTTCACTTCAATATTTTGGGGTTTTTTGTATAGAGCTTTAGTGATAGGATTAAACTTCAACACTGCATTTTACCCTCAAACAGTTGATCAATTTGATAGAGTTATCCAAATTCTTGAGGACATGTTACATGCTTGTGTGCTAGAGTTCGAGAATTCATTGGAAAAGTACACTCTTTTGGCTGAGTTTGCATACAAAAATAGTTACCAATCAACCATCAAGATGACCCCATACGAGGTTTTGAATGGTAGAAGGTGTTGGACTCCTTAAATTGGTTTGAACTCTGTGATCGCCAACTAATTGGTCCTGATCTAGTTAGGGATGTCAAGGACAAGGTGAAGATCATTCAAGACAATATTAAGATAGCTTTTAATAGGCATAAGTCTTATGTTGATTTTAAAAGAAAATATGTTTAGCATGAGATTAGAGAGAAAGTATTTCTCAAGGTCTCGCAGTGGAAGAGAATACTTCGATTCGGAATGAAGGGGAAGCTCAGAACCCGATTCATCGGTCCTTACAAAATCTTCACAAGGATCAGGTCAATAGCATATCACATAGCATAACCCCTAGACTTGGCTAGGATTCACAATGTTCTTCATGTGTCTATGATTAGAAGATATCGTTTAGATCCTTCACATGTTATAACTCTAGAGACAATTGAGATTCAACCAAACTTAACTTACAAGGAGGAGTATGTAAGAATCATTGAGTATGAGGTCAAAGAATTAAGGAATAAGTAGATTCCGCTTGTGAATATTCTATGGAAGAACCATAAAGTCGAGGAAGCAACGTGGGAAACTAAGAAAGCTATGCGCCAACAACATCCTCAACTGTTTTGCTCATGTAAAAAAATTCGGGTGATGAATTTTTCTTATGGAGGGGAGAGTTGTAACGCCCTAGAAAATTCTTCAAGGGCTAAACCGATAATTTTTTAAAATTACGTTGAGGACTAAAGTAGTGATTTTCGTTAATGATAGAATTAAATATGGATCTTGGTTAAATGATTTAATATTAAAAAATATATCAGTGGGAGAATAAGAATTAAATTGCTTAAAAGGAATTATGCAACTCTAAAGTGGAAACAAGTGAAGAATTAGACTCTTATTGGAATAATATTCCCAAAGAAATTATGGATAGTAGCACAAGCAAAGGATGACAACCATTGGATTTTGTTGGAAAACTACATCTAAGCCAATAGATTTGAGAGATTATAACTATTTTTTAAGGGAAAAATAAAAAGGAGTTATATTATGGGTTTGAAAGATGAGAAGATGAAGAAAAAATTAAAATAAAATAAAAGGGTTATATTATAGCTATTATGAGCATACTTAGTTTACCTTATGATGTGTTTCATGGACATTAATTATTAATTTTACCTAAGCTTCACTGCTAGAATTAGGTGTTAGATTTCACTAGTGTAAGCCTGTCATAAGTTCACTGTTGGAATTATAAGTTATGTTTCACTGGTGTAACTCTGTGACATGTTCACAGCTAGAACTATGTGTCACTTTCATTGATGGAATTGTGTCACTTTCACTAGAGAAATATGTATTATAACATATGGTACGAAAGAATAAGAAAAAAAAATGTGTGTTATGAGATGATGAATAGTAAGTTATTTGAGGTTATATGTTGGTTCTTTGTATGATGCGACATCTCTTACTTGGTTCTATATCTGGATCGGGTAAGGTGTGTTACAAAACATATTATTGTTTATTCCTTAAAATATATGTCGAGTAAAAAATTATAGTTAAATATTATAATTTTTTGTTGAAATAACAACTAATATTTATTCATGGAAAAAACTAGCTACTTGGTTGGTTTAGAATTATAACAAAGTAGAATTTGAATAATTGATTCACAAAAGCTCAAAGACCAAAATTTTATAACTCATGCTTACAAAAACAAATATTATAACCAGACTTTACATATAATTTATTTAATGAAAATGAATACTTGAAGAATAATAAAATACGAGAAAATCTTCTTTTAATTTTCCAGGAATCTTAAAATGCAAAATTTTAAAGTCAAATGTAGAAAGCTCTCCTTTCGAAACAGAATCGTAAATATGAAGAAATGCATCGCAATTTGGCCCGATCTGTCATAACGTGAAAACTGGCTTCCACTATATATCCTATTTCCACCAACTTATCAAACTATTATATTTTATCCTTAAAGTTATAAAAGATATCATTGTTTTATAACATACAGTGGTTATTTATAATAATTCGATAAATTTAATGACTATTTTGTAACTTTTAAAATTTTGGTGACCAGAAAGATCATTTCAACATAATTCAGTGACCATTTATATATTTTAACCTATTTTATTGACAGAGACAAAAAAGGCATTAAATTTGGTTAACGAGTCCCCTTTCAGCATCGAATGATTGTCCTAAACTTCGATATGAAGTTGCCAAAAATTAATAATTGATCAGTTCAATAATGCATAAGCTGAAATTATACTTGAATTGAGCTGGTTAGGTTAATTTTCATTTGGGTTAATATAAGTTGTTGGATCAATCTAATCTTTAAAAATTTCCAGTTATTGCTTTCGGTACAGGAGTTATTGATTAGCCAAATAATGTTTATTTCGAATCGAGTTAATATGAGTTTAAATTTTTTTGAATCATTTTAAATTTGGGTCTATTGAAATTTTAATCACTCTTATCATTTTGAATTTCGGGTGTTAGCTCATTTAGAGTTGTCATTTAGTTTCGACACTCGAGTTTAGGTCATTTCAGATATTTGCTTCGGATCAGGTTGAGTTCAAGTTATTTAAAGCTTGGATTACACTGAGATTGATTCATTTTGGGTTCATATAATTTTTGGTTTGGATCATTTTCAAATTTTAAAATGATCGATTTCGAGTTGTTGACTTCTATGAACAAATCGAATTAGATCAAATTTAAAGTTAATCCGGTCCGAATTTTAAACCCGGGTAAGAGTGGACCATCTAACCAAAGAGAATGATGAATAATTTATTGGATGGGGTAGTTTGTTTGGTTGGAGTCACAGTTATCCAATCATTCCTTTAACGCAAGTTTTGATACATATTTACCTAACTAATAAACCCTAAGTTCATATGGAGCTCTTATATAGAGCAAGCAGCTTAAGCTTCAATTTTAAACCATTCTCGTATCTGAAATAAAAATGGAAGCTAAGAGAAGTCTGTTAGCGATCCTCACTATCCTGTCCTTCCTCTCGATATCCACGGCAGCCGGAACTCGAAAAATCCGAGCCCGAAAGCCATGCAAGAGCATGGTGTTTTATTTCCATGACATTATCTACAATGGTATGAATGCAAGGAATGCAACTTCAGCCATTGTAGGTTCACCACAATGGGGGAACAGGACCATTCTGGCAGGGCAGAACCATTTCGGAGACTTGGTCGTGTTCGACGACCCGATCACCTTAGACAACAACTTGCATTCGAACCCGGTCGGTCGAGCTCAAGGGTTTTACATCTATGACAAGAAGGATATTTTCACAGCTTGGCTAGGATTCTCTTTCGTTTTCAATTCGACTCGGCATAAGGGAAGCATAAACTTTGCCGGGGCGGATCCATTGATGAATAAGACGAGGGACATATCAGTGATTGGTGGAACTGGAGATTTCTTCATGGCTAGAGGAGTGGCTACTTTGATGACCGATGCCTTTGAAGGGGAAGTATATTTCCGTCTTCGAACAGATATTAAATTGTATGAATGTTGGTAAACTATTACTATTATTTTGTTCTTGCTTGGTTTTTCAATAATCAATTGTCAATTATGTCGTCATTTCAATTTTCTGTCGTGTCATGAAAGAGTTTCATCAATGAAAACATTGTGGTTATTTTTTTCTTTCTTTCTCATGGATATGTTGTATGATAAAATGGAAAGTGCGTTTTGATCCGTTAATTTTGTTTTTTTCCTTATATAATTTTAAGTGAATACAAGGTAGTATATGTTCAAAAAGTTTCATATCATTGTATATGCGATACTCGAACTCGAAACATCAAAGCATAAAAACAATCCCTTAACTATTAAAATCGCTTTATTCGTGCCGCTAATTTAATCTTTAGATTACTTAGTTGGTGACAATAGCAAGAAATAAAGAAATGTTTTTAAGGTATTATATTTGATACATTATAGATTAATGTTATTAATTAACAATTAGTTGGTGTAGAGAAATGGAGTATTAAATCTCTTAAGTAAGGTCAGTAATTCAGACATAAATCAAGCGACCTCAATGATAAAGGAATTGTTGTTATTCTTTGAGGTATCAGGTTCAACCACTAAGAGCGTTTAATGTCAAATAGTTGAAAGTTATATTTGAACAGATAATGACTTGTATTTACTTCGGATTAATAAAAAAAGTCAAAATTTTGAATCTTTATGTTTTCGAATGAAACAAATCGAAATAGGAGAGCCGTCTTAAAATAGGTCTCAAAATATATGATTAGAAATAATTAATTAATAGATTAGGAGGAGAATATTGTATATAACTTATTACCGGTGCGTTTTTATGGTGTGATTTGTGATTGTTTTAGGTTTTGGTACAAAATGCTTCGGTTACATGAATTTAGTCTTTGGTTCTTTAATATTTTTATTAGTAGATTATGAGTGTTTCTATATCCGGGATTGTGAATTTACATTTGGTGCTCGTAATTTCTATTTAAGTAATAGAATTTTTTGTTTAGGTCTTATAGATAATGAACTCAGTTAAACTATTGTGTTCTAATTGTTATATATATATATATATATATATATAATCTACTTAAATAATGTAAAACTCTTTAGTTTTACACAGATTTATGACAGTTAGATGAGTGAAGATAGATGATTGAGATGAACCTATTGTTTTTTTCCAGTGAATATATTCTCATTTCCTACAGTTAGTCTCAATCATCTATTTTTACTCATCCAACAGTCCTAAACTTATGTAAAACTAACAGAGTTTTACATTCTGTAACAAGATCATATCCCATATACATACATACATACATACATACATTGAATAGTATAGGATGATTATAAGGGAGTATATGTTCAAATATTTCTCAATTAATTGACCACATACATATTCCGTAGACACATCTGCTCAAATTAATGACCTCTAGAAAAAATAACATTTCCTTTTACCACTGAAATCACTTGATGGATTCTTAATTAATATATATATATATAACAAATTTTAAATCTAATCTTAATCTTATCTAGAAGAGATGGGAATGAGACTTTAGGAGAACGAAGGAGAGCACTTGTAGTGGGTCTAGAATATATAACCTAAGAGAATATGAGTGAACAATGACTAACAACTTAACTAACCAACCAAATGTACTTGAGTATAATTTAGATTGAATTCTAAGGTATAGGACCATCAAACTTAAAGAAGTTATCAAAATGGTCCTGTTGCCCCCACTGTGGCTGAAGTTGCATATTTTAACTTGGGTCCAATTTAGATTGAAGTCTAAGGTATAGGACCATCAAACTTAACCAACTTATCCAAATTGTCAAGTAAAACAGTTATTTTAGGGCCGACATCCGACGTAATGCCCTGGCTGTCTTTTATGGATATGTATTTAAGAGCGAAGTTATAAAATTATTTTAAGAGTCAAAATTAATAGACATCATTTTATTATTTTTGAGCTTATAAAACATATTTTTAATAAGATTAGACTAAATTTTAATCATTTGAGGGTAAAAAAAGCTTTTCCATTATTTTAGTTTTATAACTCGAAATTTAAAGGGCCTCATACTGAAATTACACCATTTAGGGGGCTGCATCCGCCTCTTGTGCTGCTGGAATTATAGACGAGGAGGAGGAGAAAAGGCACGGTTGTGAATTTATGTTATGTCCATTTTATTAATTTTATATTATATTTTAATCATTTTTAGTATTAAATTGAATTCGTGACTTAATTCTTGTTACTCAATGAAAAACAGTATTGACATTGGAATCAATAACGAAGTTATATTATAACCAAAAGTTTAATTTTTTTTTATAAATTTTATATAAAAATATTTAAAATAAAAGGTAAATTACAAAAATGGTCTATCGACTATAGAACACTATTTTGTTGAGTCTCATGATTATTGAAAGTTACAAAATGGTCACCCGACGCATTATCATCGATTATTTATATGTTTGAAACTCATATTTTTCTGTATTAAAAAATGATGAACATTTAAACTAAACGTTAACATGCTGAATTGGATATGGTAAAATTATTATTTTAATGATGTCTATTGGAACCACTTTTACTTTCAAGCATTGACTTGACAACATAATGTTTCAAGCAATGGATTGAAGACATAACGTAAATAGAGACTCAATCCACAAAATACATCTCAAACAATTGTATAATTAGATTTTATCATATCGCAGTGAACAAGTTAACTTTTAGCTCAGAGACCACTATTTCTTTGACATAAAATAACAAATTTGAAATATATGAATAGTCAGGTGTTTATTTTTGTAACTTCTGATAGTCGGAGGACTCAAGAAAGCAATGCGTTATAGTCAGGAGACCATTTTATATCTTTTAATAATCGGAGAACCCAACAAAGTAACATCCTATAATCTGAGATCATTCGTGTACTTTACCCTAAAATAAATTTAACATGAAACTTTTTCAAACATCATAATGATCCTCTTTTTTGGTTGGTGGGAGAGTTACAAAAGGTGGAGATTCACTGTACCTAATGGAGAAAGATTTTATATCTTTTAATAATCGGAGAACCCAACAAAGTAACATCCTATAATCTGAGATCATTCGTGTACTTTACCCTAAAATAAATTTAACATGAAACTTTTTCAAACATCATAATGATCCTCTTTTTATTTGGTTTGGTTGGTGGGAGAGTTACAAAAGGTGGAGATTCACTGTACCTAATGGAGAAAGTAGGGAAGTGATCATTAATGATTAAGGTTTTAAAAGAGAAATATGTGGTTGAATTAATAATAATTTCATTTTGTTTCACCTTCTGGGAATAATTAATATTCACGTTTTGTTACTCTCCCACCAACTAAAGCAAATAAAAAGGAAGCATCATTATGTGGTTTGGACATAGAGGTAACAGAATCGAATAATCATGATTATTGAACCAATGTAAAAACATCATTATTAACTGCGCCATAAAATTTTTCAAAATGCGATTTCCTTAGAAAATTGAATTAGTTTGATTAATTCTGTCGGCCATCTATTAGTTAGGTGGAGAAATGATTAATATTTTTTAATAATCAATTAATAGTTAATTCAGTTTGAAATCGGTTAATTAATCAAATTAACCAAAATTATTAACTATTAAATATATTATACACATTAAGTATATATTTTAAGCTCAAACCCATCCAGAATCAAGACATAATTATTTTTTAACTACATTAGACTCATTAAATTATTAAGACATAATTAAATTTTAACCCAAATAAAAATAATTCTATCATATTTAAATTTAATATTTTTAAAGAAATTTTAAGATTATTTTTATTCAATTTTCAAGATTATATTCTATTCAATCATTCGAATATAGAAATTATTTTAAGGTCAAAATCTCCTTTTTTGCTCCTTACTCTATTAAAAATTCAACTCATATACTGGAAATAATTTTCAAACTTTTTTACAAAGGATTTCGGATTTTAATCGAGTAAAAATCTATTTTTTAACTCATTAGTGTTGATACTGCAAGAATAATACTGATACTATTTGTAACATCGATAGTCCATATTTGTCTCGAGATACGAGCTAAAAATATCACATCAACTTAAGATACATTCACTAAAAATAAATGCTTAAAATTTTGTTCTTTTTAAAACCTTTCTATTTCAATCTTCAAACTTTTCTTTCAATTGTATATCATTGTCGTAACCATTTTTCGGCGAGGACAATCGTTTAATTGTTTTAAAAATAGTTACGACTTTTAATTTTGGAAAATGGGTGATTTTGGAGTAATTTGAAATAAATTAAAAAGAATTAAAAAGAGTCGCCATCAACCTTTGGGTTAGGTAGGTCGAATACCTAAAAACGTCTTTTAAAAACAATTTTAAGAAAAATCATCTTTTAAGACAAAAGTTGGTCTGCGTTTACCAAAGATTTGATTAAAACGGGTTCGGGAGTCGGTTACGCGTGGGGAAGGATTAGCACCCCCACAGCGCCCAAAATTGGTATTGTTTCACTTACACGTTGTTGTAATGGTGGAAATCCTGAATCAAATATCAAGTTAAAATATGATCCATTTATTGAAATTTAATTATTTTACTTCAAATTAATTATTTAAAAAGAGGAAATTAAAAAGAATGAAATAAAACAAATGAATATTACAACCTAAATACAAATAGTAAAATATGTATTTAAATTTATAAAAACCAAAATAGAGAAACAAAAAAGCTTTAAGGACATAATAAGTGACAAACATAAAATAGTAGCTAATATGTAAACATTATATAACATGAGTACTAAAGCAGCAATAAATCCTAAAATAAGTTGGACCAAAAGTATAACAAATGTAAAATGTCATGCTTAAAATAGAAATATAGAAAAAAATATAAAACAACATGAATAAGATTACTAAAATGAAACAATAACAACCTAAGTTGCTTAATCACGATTAAGTTAAAATACGATGACCTATGTATAAATATAAACATAAACATATTTAATAAGAAATTCAGGACTAAAATGGAATATAAATAAATAAAGAGCTCAAAATAAAATGAACTGAAAATTCATTAGTTACCAGAATATAAGTGTTACAATAGTTTGGGGACCCTGAGTTAATTTAAAATTTAATGTTATAAATGTGATTAAGTGAAATACTTAATTTACAAAATATTAAGACAAATTTATGGAAGTAAGAAT